GCGCGCGCGCGGCTGTGGAGCCGGGAGCGCGCGGGGCCTCGCCTGCCGTTGTCCAGGGAACGCACGTGCACTGCGGGGGGCGCGGCGGGGGGCGCGCGGGGGCCGCCTGGGGCTGAGACCTGGGCGAGCGCTGAGCTAGCGGAGGGCGGCCGGGGCCCCGGGGCTAGTGCGAGGTCTGTGGCCACGGCCCCTGCCTAGTGCTGTGGTGTAAACATCCAGAGCCTGCCGCAGCAGCAGCACCAGGAAGAGGCATCCTCGGAAACTACGGCAGTGGCTTCCCTCCACCCCCTGCTGACCCCAGAATACTGTCGGCGCAGTTGGGAGGGGCGGGGAGGGGGTGCTGCGGCAAGTCTGCAAAATCCTCGCCTCTCTTCTTTGCGTGTTTAAGGGCTCCAATCGACTCCTGCTGCTTATTATTTGGAATTGAGGTGTGGGGTGACTAAAAGTTCCCTAGTTGGTCTCTTCATTCAGTGTTATGGACCAGCAAATTGAAAGTGACGTAGCAGAGGAGAGGAAGGGCAAGAAAGGGTGAAAGAGCAGGGAGTGGGGAGGTGCGTGGTGAGACTAACCCGCTCTGGAGGCAATGAAGAACCCTCTTGGAACCCCCTGGCTGGATGGCATTGCCCTTGATTCTTTCCCTGGGCCTTTTGTTCTGCCTCCAAAGGCTGCGCAGCACTTCCACCTGCAGAACCATCCGTGTAGCAGAATACAGGGGAGATGGCTGAATATTCTACTGGTTTTCTTTTTCTCTTTTTTCTTCTATCTATATACTTTAGGTCCTTCTGACTCATTCCGTATCTAAATGTTGGGGGCGAGAGGAGCAGGTAACCTACATAACCTCCTTTGCTTTTGAAGCCTATTAATGCCAAATACTGCACCATCCAATGACACTGCAGTGTTTGGGTCCACTCAGCATTTAGTCATTTCAGTGGGACTCACTGAATGTAAAACATGGCCTTGGCTGCGATCAGCTGAATTTCAAGGGCATACATGAACCAGGATTTCACCATATCATGGAGAGAAATTAGAGAGTGAATGCGTACAGTAGAGTACACTATTCCCATGCTCCTGACAGCTTCAGGAGAACCAAAATTTCTTTACAGATCAAGAGCTCCTAAATGTTTTCTAGCATCGAACCAGAGAAGCCACAGACTGGAAGGATTGCAGAGTCAAGCTGAGACCGGAAATACAAAGAAGCCATGTTTCAGTGGATGCATCTCAACCCTCTACTGGAAACACTTTAAAGGTCTTCATATGAGTACCTAAGCACTACAGAAACAGTAGGTAATTGATGCAAACTAGAAACCTTCCACTTCAGCAAAGACCATCGTTGAAAATGTTTTCTTTTACCCAATTGCCACAGCCCCACAGGATTTACCTTTGGATCACAGAGGGCAGTGTCTGTCTACCAGAAGGACAAGCATGAATTTGGTGCTTTGTGTTGGTCTCTGGGTTTGGAGAGCATGAAATGCAAATGTCCTGTGATACCATGAGAAAGTGCACCGGTGTGGGAGGGAACCGGATCACCGTGGTAGACAAGTTTTGCCCAAGACCGTGGTATCATGGCTACTCTCAACTTAGATCCTGAGAGTCTGCAATCTTTTTGAAAGCCTTCCCATCCTAGAGTTCTGCATAAAACCCTGAAATGCTGAATCTTAAATGGTTTATGATCTGGAGTCGGAGTTGAGTGATATATAAAGCAGCTAAGATTTTTGTATGCGTTGGATTATCAGATATTTTGCTTTAAATCCTCAGAATGTTTTGATAACTATATCTTTATTTGTATTATATCTAGTTCAAAGAAAGAATGGATTTCATGTGTCTCACAAATGCCGGAGATGTGTGAACTAGTTCAAGGATGCCGATACTCCTTTATCTGTTGGAAGCCAGCACTCTCTCTCCCTGGATAGAATCATCCAAATGCATATTTAACATTGCTAAACCTGCATGTAAACCAGAGGCTTTGATCACTGGGCAAATCTGCAGCCATCTGACCTTGATGTTTTTGATGTTTATAATCAATTACCTCTGTCTTAATAACATCCTCTGTGATTAAATACATAGATCACAAAATTTGCAAGGTATCCTTAAGAAAAGAAAAAGTCTTTCCAACTACAAAATGAAACTAAATGATAGGATTTGTTACCTATTTGTGCCTTACTTCAATATTTACAAGGTGAGGGGCAGAGAGAGGGGAAGGCAATCTACCCCCCAAGCTGTTGGATGCCTCAGGCTCGCCTCCTTCCTCAGTTTGGCACTGTTATCTTCCAGGAGGTGGCATCTGGGCTCAGTCCCCACAGTTCAGATCTGTTGCATTGCAGTCTCCTCTAGGCTGCAAAGCAGAGTCACAGTGCAGACAAATGAAGCCAGCCTGGAGGGAAGCCTCACAGATGACTGCAACACTTACCTAACCTTGAGTTTTAGAAAGAGCCTGGGAATTGAGCAAAAGAGAGAAGCTTATTTGCATCCCCAAATTGAATGCTCAACAGCTGGCTTGAGGCAAGTGAGCTGCTTAGAGTGGGCCAAGTTTAATAGAGAATTTTCCCAAAGTGACAATTGACATTGCCTTGCTTATTTATTTTTTCCTGGCCAAGGGGCCAGCTCCATATTGCATTCTCATTAAAAAAATAAAAAAGGACAACAGAAACGGGCTTGTTTGTTTGTTTGTTTTTTTAAAAGATCTGCTATCTAACTGTGGCATTCTCCTAGCTATTGGACATCATTTTAAGGAAGGTATGTAGACCTCTGCTGGCATTTGACAAATCTGAGTGCATTCTTTGAAATGATAGACTTTTCAACTTCTCTCCCCATCACATTTAGTTTATTAGCCTCTGTCACGATAATTTAGAATTTTTACCTCGTTTCACATTTTCTTTCTCTCTTTAAATCTTGCCACCAGGTGCCCTATCTACATGTTTGCATTTTGAATCATTTAGCTCTTTTGTCATCTCCTCCATTGCATCCTTCTTTTCCTCCAATATTCTATGTTCACTTCAGAGCTCTGACCTTGAGCCCTTTTTCTTCTTTCTACACTCCTGTGCTGAGCAGTCTCCAGCTTCAGGCTTTAAATAGAACTCCATGCTTTGACCCTGACCTCTCCCAGAGCTCCAGACTCATATATCCACCTGACACCCAAACATCTCTACTTGGAATTTCAAACTTAATGTATCTAAAATAACATTTGAGACAGAGTCCCTCTGTGCCACAGAAGCTGGCCTCAAATGCAAACCCATTATATAGTCAAGGCTAGAACTCATGATCCTTCTGCCTCCTAAGTTCTGGCTTTACTGGCATGCACTACCACGCATCTCTCCCTCCCCCCTCTCAGCTCTCTCTTCTCTCTCTTCTCCCCTCTCTCCCTTGTCTTTCCTCTCTATCCTCCTGTTTTTCTATCTCTTTTGGTAGGGCTAAAGCTCAAATTCAAGGTCTGACACATCTTACACAGGCAGGACAAGCATTCTACTACTACCAAGCTTCATTCCCAGCCCTAAAACAGAACTCTTGTCTATATTCAAAACAAGACCACAAATTGCTTTCTCCAAGGCCTTCCCATCTATCTCATGGCTAAAAAAGTCTCTTTCTCTTTACTACCACATTCATTTTAGGAGCAAATCCTTCCAGTTCCACCCTCAAAACTGAACCCAGTCTTTTCCCTCTTACTATATGCGCCTAGATCTACACACCCCGCCTCCATCCCTCTCCTGGTGACTGCAGTAGTCTCCACATCAATCCCCAGCTTCCATTCTTTCCTCTCCTTGCCTAGTCTCAACAGGCACCTGAGAATTTCTTGCAAAAGGCTAATAGGATAATGCCATTCTCCTTGCTGGAAGTCCATGGGGTTCTGTGCCTCTAACCACACTGTCATGGAAATCCAAAGCTCTTTCTCCAGCCTTTCTAGTCCCTAAACTCTGCTCACCCATTCTTT